TGGCATGGGAGGTCTGTATCAGAACTGAGCAGTGTCCCTGTTGTTTCCTTTTATCAGTGAAGAACATGGAAATGAGGATGCTGAAGGTTCAAACAAACCTCAGACATGCAAAATTTCTCACCCAAGAAGGAGGAAACTAATTTAAGATAATGAGAACAGAATAAATAGCTTTCCTCTTTTTTTTCCCCCATTATTTTTCTTTTTAATTTTGCAAGAGAAGAAACTTATTTTTAGCTTGTACATAGATTCCCACCTAATCACACAGAGCTGGCACTTCAGGAAGAACAATGTAAATAGCAGGAGGCTGAGGATAGGACTCTGGCTGTCATCACCACAGTATGGTCAGACCATTGTGATTCCCAGGGCCAGGATTACAGCACAGAGTAGCCCAATTGCTGCAGTTTGAACATGGAGCAGTTCTGTCTCTTTGCTTCTTGGGTTCTTTCTTACTCCTGGAGAAGATGGCACCTACTGCTTGGCTTTCAGTAGTTCCAGAAGCCTGTTCTGGGCTTCCTCAGCTCTTCTCACCTTGAGGATATTTACTGTCTAATGGAAGAAGAAGTTGGAGGGACATAAGTTATGGAGAACTAAGTGAAAAAAGGCAATAAATCATATTTTAGACTTACAGGTTTCTCAGAACAGGAACGGTGGCCTTTAGCTACAGCTCTGAGGACCAGATTTTACAGATGAGCTACTTTTGGATATTTTTTACAGATGAGTTGAGTAAAATGAGAAAACATCCCCTTCTGAGTTGCTTTGGATGAAGGGTTTTTTTGGATTAGGGTTTTTTGAAAGAGAGAGATAGAGAAGCATATACTTTTTAAACTAAAAGAAAATCTGCCTTTCTGCCTGAGGGTGTCAGCAGATATTTGAAATTCTCCTGGAAAAAAAAAAAAAGAGGCAGTGAGTCTTTCTTAAAAACAATCTGCACTTTCTGCGGTCTTCTGAAGGAAAAAACATTTCTGCACCAGCTGCTTTATCTGTTTATCAGCTGCTTTAAAATATTTGTCTGGGAGAACTGAAGGAACAGAAGGTTTCCTGAAGGCTTCTATCACCTGGACCTGCATTTTCTGACCACCAGTGGTCCCCACTTGACTTCAAATCCTTGCACACTCACTTTACTGATAATTTGCACATCTATCAGTGTCTGTGTCACATCTACCAGTATCACTGGTAGTCTCCAGCAGCCTAAACTATGCATGAATTTTGTTGGGGTCTTTGTGTGCCTTTGGCCTTGGAAAGCTTCTGTCCTGAAAGATAATGGTTTGAGAGCTTTTCAGGCTCACTTAGCTCACACCAGAAATTTGGAATATGTCCTATTCTTACCATATTTTCCTGATGAGAACTGCTTCTGGTCACAGCTGGTGTGTGGCTCTTCCTTCATGATTAGTATGTAACATTTATGAACTCTGTGACTACTATGGGACTTCTGATTCAGCTGTTAGAGTAAGAAGGCCAGCATGTGCCCCGCTTTCCTATGTGGTGTGAGTGACTGACTGTGATTTCAAGAGAGATACTCACAGATCAAAGTACAACTGAGAGTAAAGGCTTTGGTTTCCAAAGGAGGTAGTGGTCCCAACTTGCTTGAATAGTCAGGTAGCTCCTCCTGGAATTGTGCAGGGAGCTACACAACCTGCTCCACAGTACATTTCCTGTGTGGATCACTCACCTTGAGGTTCTGTTAAGGCTTTGCCATGAGTTTTGCAAAAGGGCAGCTGTATCTCAGTGGGGAGCTGCTGAACACACTCCCTTATTCAGGAATAAATATCTCGCCCTGGAGATGGTGCGGCTTAAACACACTTGGACCTCCCCATCCTGCCACTGTCAGTGGGCAGCACACTGACAAAACAGAGCCACTGTCACTCATGGGGCCACTGCTATAGGCAGGGAGTCTGGCCTTTCTCTCAAGCCATTATTGCAGCACTTGGGGTTGATCCTCACCCCTCAGCTTCACGTGAGGGTGAGTGAGCTGCCACTTTCCCTCAGCAAATGGATTTTGAACACCATTATCCTCTGTGGTTCACTCATTCCAACCTGCACACACTGACAGAAAGAAAAACAGTGACATTAACTGATACACAGAATCACCGAATCATAGAATGGCCTGGGTTGGAAGGGACCTTAAAGAACATCTAGTTATAACCCCCCTACCATGGACAGACACACCTCTCACTAGACCAGGCTGCTCAATGCCCCATCCAAGCTGGCCTTGAACACTGCCAGTGTTGGGGCATCCACAGCATCTGTGGGCAACCTGTTCCAGTGCCTCACCATCCTCACAGGAAAGAATTTCTTCCATATATTTAACTTAAATATCCCCTCTTTCAGTTTGAACCCATTACTCTTTGTCCTATCACTACAGTTCCTGATGAAGGGTCCTTCTCTGGCTTCTCAATAGGCCCCTTCAGGTACTGGAAGGTGCTATGAGGTCTCTATGCAACTTTCTCCAGGCTGAACAGCCCCGACTTTCTCAGCCTGTCTTCAAAGGGGAGGTGCTCCAACCCTCTTATCAACTTTGTGACCCTCCTCTGAATTTACTGTGACAGTTCCATGTCCTTCTTATGTTGGGGGCCTCGGAGCTGGATACAGCACTCCAGGTGAGGTCTCACCAGGCAGAGGAGATGGGCAGAATCCCCTCCCTCGACCTGCTGCCTGCACTGATTTTGATGCAACCCGGGACACATTTGGTTTTCTGGGCTGTGAGCACTCATTGCTAGGACATGTTGAGTTTTTCATCAACCATCACCCCCAAGTCCTTCTCCACAGGACTGCTCTCAAACACTTCTCTGCCCAACCTGCACATGTGAATATAAATCCGTGTTGTTTTCCCCACATTTTCTTCATACCCTGAGTAGGATGTTACTGTTAGTTTAGATTTTTGTTAAAGAGGTTTGCTGTATGGCTTACAGTATTCAGTAATGAAGAGTTAGATACAGGGCAACATCTCTCTTGCACTTATTTTAGCAATCAGTTGTTAGCTTTCAAATCCATTGATTCTTTCAAGACATCACCCAAGCTACTGGAAACTTTATCTGCATCCTAAAGCCATTTCAGTTAGATGTGCCTTGACAACTTAGAAAGAAGCATTGACAAAATTGACTGCAATTCCTTTAGAAAATCTGAAATACCTTGTGTGCATAAAGGCTATTTCATGGCACTTAACACTGTGAGAAATTGAGCTTCCTTAGGCTCATGATGGTTTTTTTGCCACTGTTGTGCTTTATTTATTTTGTAATGGCAGTAACTGACACATTTTTTATATGAGCAAATTTTGTATATGAGTATGAGTAATTTATACGATTTTAATCTGAATTTTTCTGTATTCCTGACTGTACTTAATATCCTTCTTTTAAAGTATTACGCTGCCTTTTTCTCCCACAAAGTATGTCATTCTACCCAGAAATGGGGTATGACTTCATACAGAAATAATTTCCATTTGTATCAAGGGTGAAATTGATTTGTTGTGTTAAAGTCACGGTGTCCAATTTTGTATATTTATTCTACAGATGGTTTACTTAAATTCCTGTAAAATTGTTCATAAGATGTTCTTTTTCATCTTCTTCCAGTCAAATGCGTAAGGAAAATGGAAACGGTTTATCAGGTATATGGTCATAGTTTATTTTTCATGCTCAGTTGCTGGGATTGATTTCCAGAATGTAGCTCAGCTGCTTCCAGAAATAGGTCTGTAAAATTACAATGAAACCTCAAATCCCAAAGTAAAATCTGAGAGATGATAAACAAAATGAGACCAAAAAGAGGTTTTCTCACATCTCTGTGAATCTAGCCCATCTCATTTCAGAAAACACTCATTGATATTTTCCCTGTGTTTTCATATCTTTTTATATTCAATACATATAGCTTTTATACCTTGCTAGACATCTGAATTCACTGAGAAGAAATTCAGCTGGATATTGAAGAGCTTTTCCTTTCTCCCCAGAACCTATTTATTTGGGGGTAGCAGGGAAAATGTCTATTCTGAATCTATATTGAGCTCTTGAGCTCATTTCTAGACAGCTGTAAACAGTCACATATTTAGAATATGAAGCCCCTCAGAGAGAAAATCCTGCATTTTATTATTTTTGTGTACCTTCTGCACTGTGCACAACACATTGTGGTGCCAGTCTGGGCTTTCTGACGTAGAAAAGTTAGAAGAACAAAAGTTTGAAAAAAACCTTTACTGCACTTGCTTCTGTGGTGGTTTTGGTCACCTTTTACCCCTTGCAGCCCCTTCTTATCAGTCATTCCCACTCCTTCCCAGTCAGCTGGCATTCTTGAAAGAAGTGCATGTGAGTAATGCCACTATAGAGGTTCAGTTGTACCAGTGAAAGATAGGGGCACCAAGGGACAAGGAGATCTTTTGGAGTGTGCCAAGAGGGCAATGAAGGCATGACCTTGTACAAAGTAGGATGCTTTACTGTGTTAAAAACCACTCTATGTGAATCATTATCAGCTTTAAAGGTTGGGAGCATCCTTACTGCTATTTGATATTAATCAGGTGCTGCAACTTTCCATATCAATGAGCAGAAAAAGTTGACAGGCTCTTGCAGCAGGTGAAATCATTTACCTGCGTAGTTCGTAGAGACTGAACGTGGTCTTGTATTTATCCATTACTATTGGGGCATCTAACATTCAGCAATTCCATCTGAAGAACTTGGAAACAAGAGAGAAAGTCAGCATGTGAAGTATGAAACATAAATAGCAGGATGTGCAGTGAACGTTCTGGGGTGTTGCTAAGCGATGTGCCAGGCGTGGGCAAGAGCGATGCCATCCTGGGAATGCTCCAAGTTGCCAGCCCTTAATGGAATAATCTTCTGCCCAAGATGCCCAAAAGGTGAAATGCATTTGAGAACGAGGGGAGAGTAGTGGAGAGAGCATTAGGAAACTACTGAGGAGAAATAACAGCTTTTGAAATCAAATCCATTAATAAAACATGTGACAAAAGCTTGAAAGGCCCAGGTGGACTAATTTCCAAAGGCACAGGGGAAGTTCTCGTTTCTTACCTTAGAAATGTCTCCATATCTTCTTCCCTTCAGACAATTTCCTACTTAATCCCAAAATACGTCACAGAAGCCTCTGCATCTGGTGGCTTGGACCTAGAAAACATGGAGCAAGGTGCCCCAGTGCTCCGATATCCCATAGGAAGCTTGAACAGGAGGAACTACGTGAGGTTCTTGACACAGCTTTTTCTACATTTAATTGGTACCTTCTGGATGAAGATCTGCTATAAAAAATGAATCACCCTGCTAGCCCTGGGAATAGAGGGAATTAGGAGGAGTGTGCTCTTGATGAAAGAACGCCTCTATGAAGAATGATCATCAGAAAACTTCTCAAAGTGAATGTGAAAAGGCTGTTCATTATTTTCATGGACTGTTTGAACTGTCTCTCTCCTACTGATGGATTTTAAAAGTGTGGAGGCAACTTGTATTTTTGGTCTCTTCACCCCCAGTTAATTTTCTGGCCACACCCCAGGTTCATGTAAGGACAGGTAGGATGGTTGCTTCCCTCACTTCCCTGGGTGTCGTGGTGGGTTAGCTCTGGTAACAGTCAAACACCCCTACAACTGCTCACTCCCCAGTTCAATTGATGGGAAAAATTAGGATAAAAAAGTTCATGGATCAAGATGAAGACAGGGAGATCACTTGCCAGTTACCACTGTAGGCAGAGTTGAGGAAAATTAATTTATTGCCCTACTGCTGGCAAGGGCAGGGACAACCCACACTCCTTCCCCCCCCTACACACACATATTCCCTGTTTCTATGGGAAGCGAGCCTGGAAACCAGAGCTGAAAAAGGCAGAGCACAGTTTTGATGGTGTCTCTGATCTGCACATTTGAGGCCAGGGCCCAGAGTGTTTTGTGGAGCCCCACTGTGTCAGTGGCCTTTCCAGAGCTCATTCGGTCATTCTGAAGATGTCCCGGCTACCTATTGCTAATGATGAGACAGAGCATGTCCGTGACCCTGGACCCTCACAGGGGCAATCCATTCCAAACCTCCTAAACAGGGAATTCCTGCAGTAATCTGCAGCTCTACCTGGCACTGTAAAATGGGAGTAATCTGCACATATTCTTATGGGCTTGGTCTGACTTCTAAATCTTTTGAAATTGTATGGGGAATCAGGTGCTGTGCGCCCTCTGTCCCCCCTGCCCTGAGCCCACAGTTCTTTCCAAGATAAGCAGCAAGCTCCTCTTTTCTGTGAAATATCTCAAAGTGCAGGGTACAATCACATACCTGCTTTTCTCCATCATCAGAAAATTCCCAGTTGTTCCCTTCCTCCTTTAGTGAGAAACTGCTATACCAGGAAGATTGAATCTGCAAAGGAATCTGACGCCCAAGAGGTTAAACAGGCATTAGCTTCTGGCCATCAGCAAAAGTTTATGTACAAACAATTAATTCTTGTTGGCTTTTATCATTCAACTAGCTGTACAGGAACAGACTAGCACCAGTGACCTCCCCAGACTCATTTGTTTGCATGTTTCCTCTGTTGAAAGGACTTTTCTTCCAAAAAGAAAGGATATTTTCTGGAGGCACAGATAGGCAGTTCTCTAGGTACTGAATAAAACAGCAAATCCCAGATCCCAGTCCCAAATGCTCTAGTATTTACCAGCCTCTTACTTCAGTTATAATTTGACTGAAGCAAGAGAACACTGATGCACATCAATTCAGTAAGACTCTGAACATTGACATTTTTTCCCCATTGTCAGTCTGACAGTTACAAAAAAAAACAACAAACCAAACAAACAAAAAAACCCACCAAAACAAACAAACAAACAAACAAACAAAAACCAGTGGAGGGTATTTTCAAATTGCAAACTACACAGAAAATAGTAATTAAAAAAACCCAAAACCAATTTGCAGTAAAAGGAAGGCCAGAATTCAGTAATAGCTACAAGGAACTGTATACACATTTTACATTTATGGGACTAGTGCTGTTTAATATCTTTGTTGGCAACATGGACAGTGGGATTAAGTGACTAAATGCACCCTTAGCAGGTTTGCCAACTGCACCAAGTTGAATGGTCTGTTTGACATGCTGAAGGGAAGGGATGTCATTCAGAGGGATCTCAACAGGTTTGAGAATTGGCTCCATTTGCCCATGAGAAGGATGTGGACCTGTTGGAGTGAGCCCAGAGGAGGCCATGAAGATGATCAGGGGGCTGGAGCACTTCTCCTATGAAGACAGACTGACAGAGTTGGGGGCTGTTCAACCTGGAGAAAGCGCTCTGGGGAGACCTTCTAGCAGTCTTCCAACTCTGCAGTACAAAGGTCACACTAGATCTGTGATCTGGATACTAAGCATGGGTAAAGGACATAAATATAAGGTAAAGGACACGTTTGTTCTGAAATCAGATTCAGCTCTTTGGAGTTATTTTTATTGCAGATTAACACAAGGCAAAAACTGCTGTCTTTTAATGTACTAAAGTCACTTGGGTGAGATCTTTTAAGTGTGAAATGGTTCATTGATCTCATATTTATTCTGGTTCTGTGGTTACCTTGTCTTTCTATTTATGCTTTCTTATTACATAATCCAAGAGTATGGCAAAGCAGAATAGATCTCCTGTGCTGGCATTAGCTGCCTTTTTCCAGTTCAGGCTGTCAAACACTATTCTATTCATTTGACTTGTTGCCACAGTTGCCTCAATGTAGCTTTTTAATTTTGACCCATGTTCTTTGATCGAGAGATGTTCACGTGATCCCTTTAGCAGGAGGTTAATTGGTTGTATTCTTTTCTTCTCAGAGGAAACAAAAAAGGGGGAAATGGGGAATGAAATTTTACAATGGTGGCCAAATTTAGCTTAATTTTTAGATGGCTAAATTCCTGTGATGTGGAACAAAATTTGACTGCTGAGGTGTGATGTCTCAAAGCTCCTGGTGTTAGTACGAATGCAGAAGTTCTACTCTGAATTCTAAGCAGGCAAAGCCAATCCTGCTTCTCTGCACGAGCTCTACAGCAATTTTTTCCTTCTTCCCTACCTCCTGCAGCTGATTTTTCACAGATATTAAACTATCCACAGCCCCAACAAAATACTTCAATTTTCTGCTAAGAAGCAGATGCTTGCCAGCTCACATTTGTTATATAGTAATGGCAATCGGGAGCAAACTGAAAATGGCACTCTGCAAAACTGAAGTTTTTTTGCTTTCCATCCCCATTTTCTCTTTCAGGAAGAGTGGTCATGGAGAAACTCCACTGTGTTCTGCCATTGTACTGTCCCGCCAACGATACCTGTGTTGGATTTATTCATCAAGGCGTGGAGAATGTAGTAGTAATAATAATGGCAATCAGCCTGTTTTCTCACTCAACACAACATATGGTAGTAGGTGGATTTTTAGGTCTTGAACATTGGTGTAATTCTGGACCTCTGTTTTGATGTGGGACTACTAATACCCAGATAATAATTATGTCTTTGGAAAAAGCGAACAGTGCTTACAAAGTTGGATGTTGTGACAGTTCACGTCTCTCAGCTTCCACCAGCCATTAGCTAATTAGTGGGGTAGTCACATCCATCCAGGCCAAGTGGTTGTGGAGATTTGTGGGGTCAGTGGGATCACCCATCTACCCTTTACCTTCCTGCAGTGCAAAACAGTGATTGATCATCCAGTATTGTAGTCTGTCTGCGCTCCTGAGCTGTGAGAACACAACTGACAGGGGTTTTGTTCTCATCTGGTGGCCTGTTTGCTGTGACTGTAGTTGTATAAGCAGCAAGGGTCACCATCCACTGTGGGGTCAAGACAGACTTCGTGTCCTTCAAATCAAAAATCAAAAATCATCAGTAAGGATCTGGACTGCACTTAGGGGCACAGTCCAATCTATCCTTGTAATTAATATTTCCAAGAACTAAGACATACAGAACTAAATGAGAGAGAGGAGAGCAGTTGTTGCTCTGCATTGTGTATAAGGCTTTCACAGTCATGGAGATTAGCTTTCTCACTACTCAGATGAATTTCAACCACAGCGTTTGTTTGCAGCCTTCCCTGGCAGAAGGCAGCAGTGTTTTCCCTGTGAAGCCATTTGGTTCAAATCCAAATGACAGCATTTCTCAGAACAAAGCATGAAGGCACTTACTTTTTTGAGGCCACACAGGCAACGCTCATTTCTGCAGCGTATTCCTGACAATTGACCAATATCTGAACAAACCTTTTAGTGAGGACTGTAAACAAAATTAAAGTAAACAAACTTGTTACTTTCCTGCAGCCATAGTTTGAGCAAAAATGGAGTTCTTGGTTTTTTTATTTTTACCTGCTGTGAAACACATCACAAAATGCCTTAAAACCTAAAACCAAAACGCTTCTGGGACAGTTCAATGTCTCTGTACATATGGGGAGAGTTAATGAAACATTTTATATCAACCAAGATCCCCAGGACAACAGATAATGCCAAGACTGAGGAGAAGATTTCTATTATCTATAAGAATACAAATATGTACAAATTGGCATGTCCTCAAACAGTGCACATCAAAGAAATTCAGAAAGAGAAAAGATAAAGGTAACTCCTCTGTGCTCTCTGTCATCCAGCTATATTGATGGATGTTTTTTGTTTCAATTCATCTGGACATCCTCAAAACCACCATGGGCCTCACCAAGTCAGATGTTGAACAACACACAGCAAAGCCGATTTCCTCACCTTGAATGTATCTCCAGAACCACAGAATCACTGACTGGGTTAGGTTGGAAAGGACCACAGTCGGTCACCTGGTCCAACCTCCCTGCTCAAGCAGGGTCATCCCAGAGCACATGGCACGGGATTGTGTCCAGACAGTTCTGGAATATCTCCAGTGATGGAAACTCCACATTCTCTCGTGGCAACCTGTTCCAGTGCTTGGTCACACACACAGTAAAGAAGTTTTTTTCCTTCTTAGACAAAATTGCCTCTACCTTCTGCTAGAGTTAACCACAACATACCATATTAAAGATCAAAGTATTTTATTAGCTTGCTTTGTAGTAATTAGTATTTTTTTCTGGATAGATATAACGAATGATGGTGACTGCTGCACAGGAACACTACTCAATTCATCATCATGGCTAGGCTTTGAGAACGAAGATTTGAGAAGGGCTCTACCCATGCTTGCTACAAGCGCGAATTCACATGGTTTCTTTCAGATCAGGATCAAGGCTGACTAAAGATATATTAATGACATGTAATTAAGAGACAGTCGGTCAACTATACATTCTGGTTCAGTATTAGCAATACAACAGATAAAGCACAGTACTAGACAATTGTTATACATTTGAAGACCTAAGCACCTTACTAAAGGTAGTCTAATGGTTGCTTTTGAACCAGGGTCTGCCTGCAGGTGTTTTACCCTCATTTATCTCCCTACTGCTACACATTTTTCATACTATTTTACTATATCACTATATGGGCATTGTGCAAAGATTTAGTGGAACAAGTTGACCAGAGAAGCTGTGGCTGCCACATCCCTGGAAGTGTTCAAGGCTGAGTTGGATGGAACTCTTGAGCAACCTGATCCAGTGGAAGGTGTTGCTGTCCATGGTAAGGGGTTTGGAACTACCTGATCTTTAAGGTCTCTTCCAACTCAAACTATGCTATGGTTCCATGATTCACTTCTGTGAGGTTTGTACTTGTGATAATGGGACAAGGTAGTACATAATACAGCAAAATCAAAGTCAGTTTTCTCCAAGCCTGAAACCCTTCCTCAATTTTAGTATTTTACAGAGGCTTCCTAGTCAAGGGACACATATTTTCAACTCACCTCATGATTATTTATTATTTATTTATCAATGTGACAATATTATGTGCCTCCCATTTGTAAATTCTGCAGATGAATTGATAGTTGCTGCAGAGAATACACTAAATAAAGTACACAGTGTAATTTTATACGTTGTGGAGCCTGGTAAGTACTCAGGGGAGAGAAAGGATTATGGATTGTGAAGAAGAAAAAGGTTATTTTCAGTCCTGACTTTCTCTTTCTTTCTGAACTTAGCATGAACATGAATAAACCATAAGAAATTGATTGTTCTTATGGATCTGAGGAATCAGAAGCCAAGAATAGCACAAGATTTATAGACAAATTATCTGGTGCTTCTTGTTTCGCCTCCTGTTTCACATCCACATATTCTCCTCTGACAACAGAAGAGAAGAAAGAAACCCAAATTCTGGCATAATAGCAGATTCCTGTCCCCAGCAGACACTGGAGCCTCAGAAGCAGTAGAAGTTCTCCAAAAGAATTTCCAGTGCACAAAAACCCATAGAAATATGCAAACTCAATACTTTAGTAATCTTGATTGCAAAGGAAATAGTAATGGAAATCAGGTACCTTTGATATTTGTCATATTGCCAAGGAAAATTGCCATTTGGTAAGAAC